CTTCAGACACACCAGAAGAGGGCATCCAATCCCATTACTGATAGTTGTGAGCCACCATATTGTTGTTGGGAATTGAACTCAGGTCCTCTGGAAGAACAGTCAGTGAATCCTCTTAACCACTGAGCCATCTCTCCAGCCAGGGACCTCTAATTTAATCTAATTTATGTATTTGTCTTCTTGAGATAGAGTCTCATGTAGCTCAGTCTGTCTCTGACCTCCCTGTCCCCCTTTTACAGAGATAGTGTACCACCGGAAAATGAGATTCTCACCCGCTGATGGTTTCTGCCTTTCTGGGGATACCTGGCAATGATACGTTTCTTCTTGTCACGTTTGGGATACAGTGAACAGGGAGAAGCAGCCATGGATTCTGAAAACAGTCTGTAAGATACTAAGTAGCCCTCCATAACAGAAAACTATCTGGTCCAAATGAAAATTCAATTTACACACAAAGAAATGTCAGTTAGGCACATAGTCATCTTTTATTAACAACAACGACTAGGAAACGCTGGAACAGTTGTGCCCAAGTGCTGAGAGACAAACAAATATAATATATAATAGTATAGTAATACTGTGTGGAAAGAAAACTTCAAGTCAGGCATAGTGGCACATGCCATTAATCCCAGCACTCAGGCAGAGGCAGGCAGATATCTGAAAGTTCAAGGCTAGCCTGGTCTACAGAGTGATTTCCAGGTCAGCCAGGGATACATAGGAAAACTGTCTCAAAAGCAAAACTAACTCAATTTCATTGTAAAGGATGATGTACAGATATGTTGAGAAACAGTAAAATCTAACAGCTGCCTGGAGTAGTGACTTGTGCCTTGGTTCTTGTGAGGCAGAGGCAGGCATATCATAGTGAGTTTGAGGCCAGCCTGATCTACATAGTGAGTTCGAGGCCAACCAGGGCCACACAGAGAGATGTGAACTCAACAACAACAAAAAGCAAAATAAATAAAATTTAAAAACCCCAAACCACTAAACATAATACAATAAACAGAATCAGATACCGAGACAAGCCTGGCACCTGCGTGGTTCTGGGTGTCAGGCTCAGGTGCCCGAAATCGGGTGTTAGCGCTTTTACCAGTTGAGCCATTCCTATATTTTAAATATAACATAGGCATAGAGATTTAATTATAGTGTAATTTCCTGATGAAAGTGAAACGTTTTCCTATCGTGGGCCCATTGACCTCAGGGATGCTGGCCTCGCAAAGGCGAATGGCCATCCCTTTGCCATCCGTTTAGGCCATTCTTGTCATGACCACCAGGGGGCGCGCCTGGGCTCAGCATAACCTCTGCTCTGTCCCTGCGCGGTTTACTAGCCTCAGACCGGGAGAATCCACCGTCCTTGCAGCTATTTTTACATGCCTACTTCTGGCTTCTGCTCGGCTCTTCCGTCCTATTTTCTCTCATCCACATACGTGGCCTAAGGGCTTCTCACAGCCATCCAAACCCTGTTTCGAGGAAGCTTCCACATGCCTGCATGAGAGAGAGAGAGAGAGAGAGAGAGAGAGAGAGAGAGAGAGAGAGAGAGCG